GAAAAAGAAAAAGAAAAAGAAAAAGAAAAAGAAAAAGAAAAAGAAAAAGAAAAAGAAAAAGAAAAAGAAAAAGAAAAAGAAAAAGAAAAAGAAAAAGAAAGGAAAAAGAAGAAAAAAAAGAAGAAAAAAAAAACAGAAAAAGAAGAAAAAAACAAGAAGAAACAGAATAAGAAAAAGAAAAAGAAGAATAAAAAGAAGAAGAAAAAAACAAAAAAAAGAAGAAAAAGGAGAAGAAAAAGAAAAAGAAGAAGAAAAAGAAGAAGAAGAAGAAAAAAAAGAAAAAGAAGAAGAAAAAGAAGATGATTATAAAATTTGAAATTTCTAGTCCTACCTGTCATTTTTTTTACTTGCGACATCCCAGGCCGCTGCGATAATTCCAGCCACGCAAGTGTCAACTGGGACAATATCAGCGACGACATCTTCATCACATGGAAAAACACGAAGAAGGCCAGAACCAGCCCCAGCCACTGCCCCTGTAGGTCCATACAAATTATCAATCCAACTTTCGATCGGTTCCTTATACGTTGAAATGACTAAAACATTTTTTTTTAATTTATATCACATACAATTTTTTTTTACTACCAATTGCCGGGCGAAAAATCCCAATTGGTAAACTCGTTGCTGTATTTCTGATCAAAGCCTCGGCTAAAGCTTTGGTAAATGTGTAAGTGTTGGGCCATTTGCCTATAATTCTAAACCCACAATTTTTTTTATTTCGTTTTAATTTTTTTACCTTGGTGTGAGTTTGTCCGCTTCACTTTTTGAAACTTTCTCCAATAAATTTCCAACTTTTTCATAATCCACTGGATAGTCGTAGAAAGTCTCATCGATTGTGTTTAAATGACAGTTGGAGTAGGCCGTGGACACGTGGATTAGAGACTAAAATAGACGAAATTAAAACTGAAAAAAAAAACTAAAATTGAAACCTTTAAATTTTTCATTTGACGACACAATTCGATCATGTCGGCCGTTCCTTTAACGTTGATTGAATACGAAAGTTTCAAATTTTCGTCAAATCGGACAGTGGCGGCGACATGAAACGCAATATTCACTTCTGACATTAATTTCTGACGATCGGTGATAGTCAAACCAAGACCGGAAATCGAACAATCACCGGAAACGGCCACCACGCGGTGGCGAAACTTCGGACGCTCTTTCTTCAATCTTTCAAAAATCTAAAAAAAAAAATTCGAATTTCGCGGGTTGCAACAATAGTCCGGTCAAAATAGACATTTCAAATACCTAAAACACCATTAGGAATAAAGTGTCAAAAGTCCCCATCGATCCCATGTGTGCTAAAAAAGTTATCCGGGGTCAAAGGTCAAAATTTAATGTTTTTTAGATTTTTTTCGAAAACGGCAAGTTTTATCAAAAAAGTAGTTCAGACAAAAATTATAGATCTTAAAATTATCTACAAAAATGGTCCTTATACTTTTTTTCTAAGAATCACCATTCCTGAGATATCGCGATTCTAAGAGTTGAAGGAGTCACATTCTACATGATATGCACATACAGAGTGCGCCAGAACTCGCGCCCCAAAGAAAAATGTAGGGTAAGGTACCAGGAACATGGAAAAAATAAAAAAAAAAAATTATCTATAAAAATTTCGAAGTTATGAGAGTTTAAATTTTGCACTTTGACTCTTATTTATTTCTGTAGGATAAATAATTTTCCACGTTTTTTTGCTACAGGCTATTAGAAGCGGAAACAGGGAAGCTGTATCCTAAAATGCAACTCTGTTTAACGTTATTTGTGGCTTTTGTTGGCAAAAGTTTTGTACCTTTACTAAATAATTGTAAAAAAACATATACAAGATCATTAGTATCATTAAATAGACATAAAAAATGTCAAATGTCAAAAAATAAATGTCACAATTTTTTGACAGATAGAATTTTTTAAACATTTTTCCATGTTTCTGGTATCTTATCTTACTTGAAATTTTTCTTCTACTTCATAAAAATTATAAATATCTTGATTCCATTAGAATTAAAAAGAATTTATTTGGTAATACATACAGGGTGTTCAAAAAATCGTGCATTTCCTTGAAAGGGAGTAATTGGGTAGTGCCCAGAGTACTGAAACAATGTTTAAAAAATTCTATCTGTCAAAAAATTTTGACATTTGACATTTTTTAATGTCTATTTAATAATACTGATGATTTTGTATATGTTTTTTTTTAATTATTTAATAAAGGTACAAAAATTTTGTCAATAAAAGCCACAAATAACATTAAACAGAGTTAAAGTTTAGGATACAGCTTCCTTGTTTTCGCTTCTAATAGCCTGTAGCAAAAAAACGTGGAAAATTATTTATTCTACAGAAATAAATAAGTGTTAAAGTGCTAAATTTAAACTTTCATAACTTTGAAATTTCTATAGATAGATTTTTTTTTTAATTTTTTCTATGTTCTTGGTACCTTACCCTATTTTTGGCATTTGTCTTTGGGGCACTCTGTATGTGCATATCATGTAGAACGTGACTTCTTCAACTTTTAGAATCGCAATATCGCAGGAATGGTGATTCTTAGAAAAAAAGTATAAGGACCATTTTTGTAGATAATTTTTGTTTGGGCTACTTTTTTGATAAAACTTACCGTTTTCGAAAAAAAATTAAAAAACCTCAAATTTTGACCTTTGACCCCGAATAACTTTTTTAGCACACATGGGATCGATGGGGACTTTTGACACTTTATTTCTAATGGTGTACCCAAGGTCTCCACCAAAATTTTCCTTATTTGACCACTATTTTTATGACTACAACCAATCACAAACACTTACAACGTTGTCAAAAATATCATCGAGTCTGGTGTGCACATTTTTCCCCTTTTTTTCCCTAATCAGGAGAAAAATGGTGGCGACATCTGTACTTCTTAGCAATTTCTCGATGAGAATCTTCCCCATAAAGCCCGTCCCGCCGGTCACTAGCACATTCTGTCCATCGTAGAATTTACAAATTTGGGAATCCCCCATTTTGTAAATCTGCAAAACGAAATTTAGCCAATTCCGTTCCGGTGATTTTCTCCCGCCACCCTGTATATTACTTACGTTACAGTATAGTAGAGGACATAAAACTTGTCCTTGACTTTACTTTTCATGAGCGTAGAATTAAGGGAGGCGTCTCGCAAGTGCGCATTTATGGAATTTATTACAATCACGAACGAGGTCTCGATAAGCAAAATCAGAGGTGGCTAAATGACACACATTGAGGAAGACGTGAGCGGAAACGAAACGTTTTGGGATATCGGATTTCGACACTGGGACTGTCTTAACTAATTTTCTAATTAACCACACACTAAATTGTAATTATCAATTTTTTACTAATCAAACAATTTACTAATTGAGTTAATTAATCCAATTGTACTTATTTTATTGGAATTAAACGAAATAAATTACGAAATTTTGATTAAGATATATTACATTCCAATTTTAATTAGATTTTAATCAGTCCAAGTAAATTATAAATAATTATTTCCTTTGGTACATATGGGACTGTCCTAACTAATTTTCTAATTAAGCACAGTTATAATTATTTGTTATAATTGCGATTTTTTTCACTAATTAAACACAAATTAATTAATTCTCGTTAGTAGTATTAATTTTATTAGTAATTAAACGCAATAAATTAGCAAATTTCGATAAAATTAAAATCAATTATAATTCAGTAGTAAATTGCAATTAATTAGATGTTTAATTAAAGTTCAACTTAAACTAGATAATTTTTTTTGGTACACTTAGGACTAAAATTGCCATTTTTTTCACTAATTAAACACAAATTATTTAATTCTTCCTAGTATTCATTTTAATTACTATTATTAAGTCAATTAAACGCCTCAATTCAGCAAGTTTTGATAAA